AGTTATCCTCTTTCTCACCCCCAACCACATTGTGTCCCATTCTTTGGGGCCGGAGCCCTCAGTCCAGCTCAAATTATAACCACTGGTGTGAGAATGCATCACCTCCTTTCTTTCCCCTGAGCCGCTCCTTGGCAAGACTCTTCCTATTGTTGAACAATGTCCAGGCTCTAAGGGTTATTTTTATATGTCTGCTGAATATCTAAATCTGCCCAAGCAGTACGCGAAATTATCGCTCACTCCTCCATCTTCTAATCTGCTGTTAATCTGATTTCTTTAAAGGAGGATGTCCACAGCCTCCTTGATATTCCGTTTTCTGGTGTTCTCTCTCAGACAGGTCTTTCTGTTTCAATCCACCCCATTGTGTGTCCGGTAAAAGTAATGTGTTGAACTGTCTCCGATCTTTCCATATCCATTTTTATGCAAAGTTGCTGATGCTCTTTGATCCTTGTGCTGGTTGCCCTTTCCGTCTCCTTTGTATTTTTGTTTATGGTCCTTGCAGTTTGGGCTGCAAAGTCTATGGTACTCCATATCATTGACTTATGTTGTGTGGACAAGATGGTCAAGAAGCTTTTTTTTTCATTCAGGATTCTACCAATATTCTATTTCTATAGTATCAGCCTCATCTTCCGAGCCATTTCGCAGGTGGGTAGGCATATCCATCGTCTTTCCTTTGTTAACCTCGCTTTCCTCCATCTCTTTCCTTTCATCTGTTCATTACCGTCCTATGCCTCGTTATAATGCTTCTTCTGGATATCTGTTTCCCAGAAACATCTGAGTTAGTTTTTACAGTTCCTCTTACCACAACTCTAATCAGTAAGTCGTAGGCTTCTTATGACCAATCTTCATTCCATAAGTATGGCAATACTAGAAGGTAAGAGTTATTCAGCATGCAATTTCTTTTGTAAAAGTCGTTTTTTGTCGTTGAGTCACTGCCGGTTTACATTCATTATTGGGCTGAGTCAAGCCTTAATTTGTTGCGGTAGCAAACGTAACATATTAAAATAACGTATAAAAAGTTCCTGTGTTTTACTCTTGTCATTAATCAAGCACAATCTTTATAATTGAAAATTGATTGCATTTTCCAAGAAATGTTGGTATCTCCAACAAAATGACTTTATAATTGTTGAACCTACTTCCATTTCGAGTGGAAGTGTTTGGTGAAGAGATTCGAAGGTCGACGACGGCGGATTTGTCTTGATCATCCTCAAAACCCAACTTTTCCTTGTATAAACTAAATTCACGTCTCTCCATCCATCTATCTTGCCTTATATAGTTGGATCTAATCCGGCCGCTGTTTGGGCTCTTGCAATGCATCCGACTCGACATCTCCTTATTTCTGCCCACGCTGATGGGTTACTTGCCTTTTGGCCATCTGTCTGCACTGCACCTGGTCTAGCTGGAATCAACAGCTTTGAATCCTCCGGCAGTATGCCATCTTCTTTTCTTCACCTTGCTTCTGACACAGTGCTTGAGCCTGCTCGAATTGTCCGACTAGACCATTACGTCGCTAGCGATTCTACTCTTACTGGTGAGCCAAATACTGCTTTATCTTCTAACCCCTTTCTTTTTGCGTTGGTACAGATTTTCCTTTAATAATCTGCTATAATTAATGACACCAGTTAATGTTTTCATGAACTTGAGATTTACCGAGTTTCCCTTCGTTTACCTATGCGTAGGCATATAAGCATGCATCTGCTTCATTACTTACTTGGTGCATACTATTATGGACTGCGAAGTGTTTTTTTTAAATATACTAATATCCGTACTTTGGAGGTACAAGGTATTTTACACCTATGTTAGTTTTGCCAACAGTCTTTTAATCTCATTTCATTTATAATTTAATAGATCAAGCTCCACTTGGCCGGCCTACTTGTCTATGCTATCTACACAACTGCCCTGAGCCCACAACATCATCACACTGTCTCGTCGGAACTAGCACTGGCTGGCTAATGCTCGTCGACATTGAAACCGGTGTTATGGTAAATAAGATTGCGCCAGCTCGAGACGATGCTGTTGATTTGATAGTCCGCAGATCTCTCGGCACAGACAACGATACCTCCACTCTGGCCTTACCTCCCTTCTGGTCTCAGCTTGGTCTGCATGCCCTTGCTTCACACCACACACTTAACATGGTTGTTGGGGCTCATCAGGATCGCCGTGTTCGTTTTTATGACGTTGCTCGCTTGTCAGGGTCCTGCTCCGCTGGTGTGTGCATTGAGAGCATGGTCACACACCTTGATTCAGTAACTAGCCTTGCCGTCGATCCACATGGTCTTTACCTGCTAACTGGAAGTAGGTCACTAAAAATGATTTTGTTGCGCCATCTCCATAGTCAATCATAATCACTGCCCTTTTTTATCATACCTATATTACATCAATTGCATTTCGACTATTAGTTTTTATGTTTTTTTTGCCTTTTATTTTTTTGGCGATGTACTTTTTTAATTCGTAAACTCTTTTAGGGGAATGCCTGGTGGTTATAATAAAGATTTATTTATGGAAATCTTATGGTAGTGCTCTTGAATCTAAACTTGTGGGTCTCAGGTAAAACACCCTTTCAAAATTAAGGAACATCATTATTCTTACCATGCATTAGAGAGTAAAATTTGTTTAAAACCCACGAACGTTCTATTTATATATGCTAATATGTATATATTAATCTAAAATAAACATTATATTCATTGGCCTAGCTTACGAGAAGAGAGGATATAGACAAAACATTATTGAGCTCGTTTCCATTTCGAATGAAAGTGTTACGGCCGATTTCTTCCTGCTATCTGCTTGTCGGCTTTATTAAAAAATTATTGCTGGTGCTATTTTCGAGGTGATCTCTTTCGTCATATCAATGACACTATCAAAGTGGGTTGTCATTCGGACAACCGTGTTCAAGCTAACGAGTTCAGAAAACTCAGCTGCTTTTCCCTAAATCTATATCTATGCATTTTGATGATATATCAAGTAGTTTGATTGATTCAAGTTATATGTCAGTCTCGAGGCATGTGTGTATGTTTTTATGGACTGCGAAGTGTTTGTCAAATATACTAGTTTCCGTACCTTGGAGGTGTTTTACATCTAGGTTATGTGCCTTCATGTGTGGGTATATGTAGGAAAACAGCAGAGATAATTCAAAGTAATTAGCGTAGAAACTAAAGTCTATTCTTGGTCATCAAGGCTTTGTGAACATTCCGATTGCGTATTATCGCGCACACTTATGATAAAGCTCATAACTCTTTTATTCTTGTGTGTAAGATAGTGCAATCATGATTAGAATCAATAGCAATAAAAGACTAGTTCAGTCAGCTCTTTTTTCGATTTTAAAGCGAAGTGAGCTCAACAATTATTAACCAAGAGATTTATTGAAACTACCTTTTTTGACATGTACGAGGAAGCAAAAGTGAAGGATAGAGTTAATAAAGATAATTTTCCCACCTCGACTAATTTTAAGCTAGACTTTATTTAGAAATAAGACTTGGCTCAGATTCTAACCTCGGAGGACACGTCCTGACTAAGCTGGATTTCCTCGAGGTATCTATCTGATCTCCATTCTGTTATCATTTTTTATTTGGCTCAGTTAATTTTTATCTATGCAGCTCGTATTTTCTTCGGATTGTAGGTCCTACATAAGCCTCATTATTATTATTTGCTAATTCAGTTTTTTGATATTCTCATTTTATATTATTTGTTTTGCTTATAACTCCTTAAATTTTTTTTATTTACTTGAAAAGCTGATTACGTACAGATAGTCTTGGCACAAATTTTATTCCAGGTATTTACTGTGACAAAAGAAGATTTATTAAATTAAAAAAATTTTGCTTAAGAGCTAAAAGCTTATATTAAAAGGCACAATCCTCACAATTATTCGAGTTAATTGTCCTTTACCTCAAATGGGCCTCATTACTTACACTAGAATACTGCCCAAACTGGATATTTTAGTGCGTCAGTTTTCGAATTTTTTTCATTGATTTATACAATAATTTGCGTAGCATAAAATAAATAATGGTTTAGTATTTAGCTATTTTATTTTACTTTTTAACTTCAATGAACATTTTTTATAGTGACTTTTGAAATAACATGTCTACATATGGAATAAATCATTTGTTATTCCCTCTACGGTACCGGATGGTATCATTATTTTCTTAAACAATATATTCTAATTTATTGGCACTAATGCCTTTACTAAAAACACATGTTCCATACATAGTCAATTTCACTACGTAGATTTGGAACGAAAAATGATTATCCTCTGAATACTTGATCTTGTTTTACGTATAGGATTGTGTAAAACATTACGATTTGCATCATGGAGGATTGCGAATTATCATAAAAATCTTAAATCTGG